GTTCAAGAAACTAGGGAGAGTCCCTTCTGAGCCTCTTGCCCCACAAAAATTACTGCTGCAGGCTCAGCTGTCTTTTATCTGAACATTCTCTTGGATGCATTGCTTTGCCCTGCCTCCCAAGGTCATTCCTTGATACCATTACATCTGTTGACGTGACTCAAATATCTTGAATAGAACTTTTTCTTGGCATCCAGAAGTTAAAATGTGACTAGTCCCAGTTAGCTGGCAGTTTTCAGAGAGATGCTACCTAACTATTTTTAAATAAACCTGTCAGGGCTTGTGAATGGAAGAGGCTATTTTGCTAAGAGTGTTATTAATCTCAGATTTGCCCCTGCATAAAATAGTACACTATGCAATACATTACAAATATAACATTTTATGCAAATTATGAGTGAGAAACTATACTCAGCTTTCCACATGAGCAGAATTTTTCATGCTGCATGCTGACTGCTGCCATTTGCCAATTTCCAGAACCTTATTTTTTTCAAAATGGAATAAATCTTTATAGGTCACTCTTCTCTTAGATGAATTGGAATACAAAGTCTAAGATTTCTCAACTAGCAGAGAAATCAAATGCACCAGCTGAAAAAGTTGGGACTGAGTTTCAATATCATGCTGGGAAAGGCTATACTAAATGATATTTTCCGCCTAGCACTTATACAACAGCTAAATGTTTGTTTCAGCAGCATCTTATTTATTGAACAATTTCATCCAGTTATAGTTTCCAGTTGGTTCTGTATCTTTCCCTTAGTCATACATAGTAAAGAAGATGATTTTATTGATGCTATTTTGAATAGTGGGAAGCATTCTCAGCATTCTTGTATCTTTAGAATGTTCTCAATTTTCTCTTAAAAAGGATAATCTAAATATGCCATTCTAAGGCTAGAATATTTTTCTAATTCTTCTGATTGACAAAAATGCATTTATTACTTCAGCAAATAGGCATTGCTAGAGTATTTACATCTTTTTCTATTTACTACTTCAGTGAACTTTGAGTACTATTTAATATATAACAGGAACAAAAACTGATATTTTATCTATTTTTCTAACAGCAGGTATCCTTTTAATTAAATATCAATCTGACTACTGATACTAAACTCCTACAATTAGTATTGGCAATAAGTCTCATATGCTATAATGCCAATCAATTTAATGCATCCTTCATTCAACTCTGCATGCTGTAATTGAAAGAGGTATAATAAATATAATTTATTAATTTCAATTTCAATTTTCTATTAAAATATTTATCAAGAATTTATTCATTCATGAGAACTTCAGACTGAAAATACATTGTTACACATATTTTGATGTACAATACATGGAGGTAATAGCTTAATGTAGAAAAAGAGCAAAACTGAATGGAGATGAAAAGAAGAAGTGATACAGACTGGAAACAGATTTTTAATTCAAACTCTATGCACTGAAATGAATCTGAATATATAAGCTTTAGTACTGTAATCTTTTTCAACTTGATAAACTCATGCAATAAACAGATGGAAAGAGAAGTCACTCCAGGTACATACTCTGGTCACACTTATGTTGTTTACAATTTCATCTGAAACATGAAAGAACTGGCATACAATACTACATAGAGATTTCTATATGACCCAAATCCTAGATAGGGCATGTTAAGATCTGGAGTAAAACTTAAAAGAGAGATTGCACTGCCTTTTGATATATAACCTTGTGAGGAAATTGAGATGTTTTGCAATTATCACATCAAGAATGCTGGCTGGGTATATAGGGAGTTCTAGTTCAACCATATCTGAAGGATACCAGATGGGAGAAGACTGTCAAAGAGGCTGCATCTGAAAATGCTTTGTATGATGGATGGTACTGTTGCCTAGAAAAGGCTAAGGGAAAAACAGCGGATTTGAAGTGTATTAATAAGGTTTCAGAGATGTTACATTTTGAATTTTTGAATTTATAATTTGGTTGGAAGTTCAGAGGATCAAATTAATTAATAAAAGCATGCAGTTTAAAAAAACAGCATTAGCTGGCTTTGCCATTCCCATTCAGTTGAGAGCCATTTCAATATGGAGACAGACTTCTCTGTGCATATGGGTATGAGGTATCTTTTTGTAATTCTGTAGTTGAACAAAAAGTAACTCTCTTCAGAAATGCATCATCAATATTAGAAGGTTAGCTTGAAATTTGGCCATTTCCAGCTTTAATCTGCAGAACTTTGAAGATGTGGCTTTTCTGAAGCTAAATGTTTCCTTTGAAAAACAAAGTATTCTAAGGATGACTAACTTTGACAATATTCTTTTAATAAAAAGCAGACTCACTGCATAAAAATCACACTATATTTTTAAGCTTTTCCAGATCCCAAAATATTTCTCCAAAAATGTTAATTGCTCAATTTTTAAGCCTAAAGAGACAATAATTTAATATTAAAAATGCTTATTGCTGTATGCCATTTTGGTATCATAATTTCCGTCCAACAATCTGTTCTTATATACAAAGATATTAAATTTTTTAAAAAGGGTTATCAGGATCCAAAGATGCAAAAAGTAAAAAAAAAAGTGTCTAAAGCTAATTTGCTATGAAAAGTATTTATAGAACTAGCCTTATATCTGTGTAAATGTCTCAGCTAGCAGCAAATAAAATGTAAAGGATGCTGGGAATGTACAGTAGCTCAGCAACATTTGGAAGGCCAAAGGTTCATAAAAACCCTGGTAGAAGAGCCAAAAATCTATTTCTTAATACTCAATCGGCTATATTCAGGAGGCTTAATAAAAAGATATTTCTTATCACTGTTATTTCTTGGCAGCTAATATTCAACATATGTCACTTTTGATTCTAGAGGTAGCAAAAAAAATCACAAAAAATGCAAACAAATGCAGTAGAACTGCTGGACAAAATCTATATTTTCCTTTCCTTGCTATCTATTGAGTATCCTCCTATCCCCCTTATAATTAAGAATCACTGATGCTATAGTCTTTCCCATTGGATAAGCTGCTCTATCACTGAAATTGTTTTGATTGCCCTTGGGGGCTGAATGTTCTTTTCAACTCTTCAATAAGTAAACTGATGTACAATTTGTAGAATATTGAATACAATATTCAAGTGTGGTGGTTAAAACTGTATACATTATTTCCAAATGTAGTCTCATCGTAAATTTATAAGGACATCATAATATTGGCTGCATTTCTGTTAGTTCTCTATCAATGTTTCCAGACATAGAATTTTATGGTGGCTAGACATTGGGCAATTTTCCTTCAGTTATCTACCATGGCTCCAAAATTTTCTGAATACTTTCTTCTCTTTCTCCTCAGCTGCATTAAATATTGACATTCATTAATCTACTTTGGAGAGATCCTTTGGGAATCTTTGCTTGAAATCCCTCTCCTCCTATTTAATTTTACTATCTTAATATATAATCCAATCAAAGTTATCCTGCAGCAGCATAGCTCATTAGTTACTGTAATCCACATCTATAGACGAACAATTTAAGGAATAGGATCATGATGGGTAAGAAAAAGGACCTTTTTGATGCAGAAGGTTTAAAATTCCTCTTTTTCCTAACCAGGAACAACAATATCACTTATAAGATTTTTTATTAAAAAAGACTGTATGATGGCATATGTAGCAAAAACATGTATAGTAACATGGACTGACAATGAGTGATTGTCCACAGGAACCCAGTGAGCCTCTGTGACTAAGAGTGATTTAAAACCAGGTGTTCCCAACCTTATCTTTACACTTTAATCATTCCATTAAACCAGCTTCTTTATTTGCAGAGATTATTTTATATTTTCAAAAAAGCAAAAGTTTGGTATTTTCTCCAGATACCAGGAAACATTGCATAATGCTTGTGCAATGGGATAGGGACTTGAAATTTCATGATACTTTAAATTACAGCAATTTTACTACTCCCTCCCATTCACAATCTCTCACAATACCATCTAAGTATTCTGAAATCTCATACTTATTATATAAAAAGAGATTTCTTTTCACATCTCATGAGGTTTGGACTCTTCTCAACCTTCAGATGTTTTTATTTTGGCTTATTAATAATAATGGCATCTGCTGGCAATATATTATTGACCTCTGATTTAATGGAATGTTAGTATGGGAGCAAAAAATGGTAGAAAAAGCAAGGTTGCAGAAAGTACTTGAATAAATATTTTTTTAAAGATAACATCTATGTTGAGTGTGCTTTAGCAAGCAAGTAGTTCTTCACTTATTTGCAGTGAAGAGTTAATTTTAGTAGCTTTCTTTCAGAATGAATCTAACAGGCTTCTTTCTTAAATATCTACCTAAACAGTTAGTGGTTAACAGATGAAATATCTAAGCAATTAAAATTAATCAATAGAAGCTTGAAAAAAATCAAACAAAAAACCCCAGCAACAATATAACACAGATTAACTGAAGGTACCAAGAGAAAAAATTCCAAGTATCATTTCCATTATTTATTTTATAAATAGTCCAAAATGTTAGTAATTTTAAAATGCTACAAAAATTAAAACTAATTCTGGATGGTAGATGCATTTTTCTCAGATGTTAAATTGTATCTCAATGCATTCTTTAGGTTCATTTCTTCCAGCAGAAATAGCATATGATTCAAAAAATGCTCTGCAGTAGGCTATTTCACTGGACTATATTGTGGACAAGTAGAAAGACTATTTATATTCATTAAAAGTTGGCAAACCCCATATTTCAAACCAGTAGTCCAGACACAAAGACTCCACTTAAAATTGGTTCTGCCATTTACTGTTTTAAAAGCAGCTCTGGAATGAAATGATCTGTATATATCTGAAAGACACGGAAGTTTAGGGAAAAAAGAACACTTACAATTAATCTTTTTGCAAGTATCAATGATGTTTCTTCCTTAGGTTCTTGATACCCCCCCCCAAATAAATTTCTGATATGTATTTCCCAGGAGTACAAATTCAGTAAAATGCAAATGTGAGAGTTTATCAATATACTATAATACAAATATATATAAAATGAGTGTGTGCACAAACAGACATATACATACATACATTTATTCTTACCATTTGAGATTGGCTTCGAGGAAAATCATTGATATCTTCAACTTTTTCATTTGCTAAAAGAAAGCAGTGAATTTTTTTAAAAAAATATCATGTCTAAGAATAGGCAATAAGACAAGATGAGACAAAGCAAATAGGCACACAAGTATTTTGCACATACTGAATTTTGCTCTCAGCACGCTGAAATGTACAATAACAGTCTTTCTTGTTAGCGGCAGTTCCTTCCCTCATGCAAAGGGGAAGTGCAGAGACTGCTGCTGCTAATTCTCCAGACCCTGCCAAACGACTGCTGACATGAAATCTTCCACAATTGTTTTTGTGGGATCAAGATACAATTTCAAGTCATCTCAGAAAGTATAAACCGCTCCAGTTAATAAAATGCACACATTGGAGACACATGGCTTAATGAAGTATTCACTTTAGTCTGCCAAGTGTGTGAAACACAGTCCTTGGGCTATAAAGGAGATGAACCACGTACAAATAGATACAGACAAACTCTTATCAAAATTTCTAAACATTTTTAAAAATTAGGAAGCATTGCCTCTATTTCTAAAAATAAGTATATAGAGAGAAATAAAGAGACTGAATCACTACTATTTAATGTTCATCTCACAGAACACTTTGTTCTAGTTCTATTGTATTTTATAATCCTAACCCAGAAGTCAACTGTCAGGTTACGATTAATTTCATGCGACTTACCAATAATCTGGATGATTTCTGCTAGTAGAACTCCATCTGCAATGTCCTGTTGCAAATCTTTGATCAGTCGTTTGTGGCCAGATTTTGCTAGATAATGATTAGCCCAGTCAGTGTAAATCTGTAGAGTAGAGAGAAGGGAAACAGGAAGAGAAAGAGAATAAAATTTAGAAAACCTTATGTTGGCTTACATGTGAGTAGAGCTCTATAAAGCACATTCCAATTTAAGGAGTCACCACCAAAAAGTAAAACTTGAATGGTTTTTACTTTTTTAAATCTGTGCCATTTTTCTGCATTTTAACCTTGAATGATTCATTTTAATATACAATGAAACATCACTATCATTGTGATCAGAAAAAAAGCCCCTTCAGGACTGCCAAGAAAATTCTTGTCATAAATCATTTTCAGTCTAAAACACTGGAAACACTGGATGTATTGTTTTTACTTGTTTCATTTTGCTTCTTGTGTTTATTTCCATAAGAACCATGTGCAAACAGTTGTATCAGCGTTTTCTAGCGAAACAAACATTTTATCCATATAGAGTATGCAAACAAATGTAAGATGTACAGTACCTCACATATCTTGGCTTTGCAAATGCCTTTGCTTCCTGGAAGCAGATGAGCAATTTATACACCTATAAGTAATCATTTTTGGTTCACTATTCCTCAGCAATCAAGTGGATTAAAGTAAACCAAATAAATCCATAAAACCTTTTAAAAATTAAAACTATACTAAATTACAAAAATGAAAACCAATTGGTAGGAGCATGACAACAAAGACAGAAACAAGCTAAATGACACAGTAGCAAAAGTTCAGCCAAAAGTCTTGGCAAGCAGCTCTTTAGCTGACACCAAAAGCTAACTAAACTTGGTGCCAACTGTAATAAGATTATGCCAGCCAGAATCTAGTAGTAAAGCAACCTGGAGAGGAGAAAGTCTTTAAATTAATTGCTTTCTTTTCCCACAAATAAACTAGGAAGTGAACAATACCCACACATGTTACAATCATTGTAAAGATAGCTAGACAAAAATGTGAGAATGGTTTGTCATTCTCTGAGTTCATGGATACAGAATATGTTTTGTAGTTCTATGTACAACTTCCTATTTAAATAAAATTATGTTCAATCTATATGTCAAAGTCAAATCCGAACAGTAATGTTTTCCAGAACGTTCACGCACACACACACACACCCTTTTCAAACCTGCAAGATATTTTCATCATGTAATTGTCTCCAAATTCCAAAGAATATTAACTTTAGAATGCTTCAATATTTTCCCCGTATCACTTTTTGATGGTTGATATAAAAAAGTTCTCAATGAAACTGTTCCCCTGTAAAGAAGGGGCTATTTAAATTATAGCTGATATCCTATTGTATGGTACCTTCTATAAAGATCTAGACAACCTTCTAACTTATAACTCCTTACCTAGTAAAATACCCAGGAAATTCTGATCTTTTATATATATAGTTATTACCAAATCAGAAGGATTTATTTTCCTTGAATATATCTAATTTTTATACTGCCTGTAAAATTAGATACTGCCCATCAGTAAGTCCACTGCCAGTTATAGCATTCCATTCTATTTTGTATGTTTAAGCTTGTTTTATTTTTAATTTGTTTTATTTTGAATTCTTATCTGTGACCATAATAAACTCTTTCTATCCCTCCCACCCAACAATATAACTAGTCAGTCAGAAATGTATGATTAGCTTAAACTAAAAAAAAAAAAAACCTGACTATTTTAGGAATGGGAATTAATGCAGTTGATTAAACTTTCCATTGTTAGCTGCTTAGATGACTTTTGTAACCTTCCAATAGTTTAGGTGATTTTGCTCTTTCATGGAAAAGAAGCCAATCATCATAATTGTCATGTATTAATTCTTACAACTCTGATAATATGCCTCTAAATATCAGATCCTTGGGGATATGAATGGGGGGGGCTGTCTCTCTTCTGCATTAGTTTGATTTGAAACTTGCACATGAATGGCAATCTCTTCCACTGTTCCCTTGGCCACATCTTTGCTGTTAAAACTGTTAGAAAAATATATCACTAAGAAAAGGCTTTGATTATGGCACGTATTGTAGTAGAGTCAATTTGCATTTATGTAAATGTGCTTTTGGTTATTAGAAAACAGCAATGAATGGATTGGTCAACATTAATAAGTAATTTTCTTGCTTTATTTTGATTTTTAAGCCAAACTATATTTTCCTATGGAATAGAATGGAATGGAATGGAATGCAATAGAATAGAATAGAATAGAATAGAATAGAATAGAATAGAATAGAATGGAATAGAATGGAATGGAATGGAATGGAATGGAACGGAACGGAACGGAACGGAACGGAACAGAACAGAACAGAATAGAATAGAATAGAATAGAATTCTTTATTGGCCAGGTGTGATTGGACATACAAGAAATTTGTCTCATAGTGTATATATAAACAACAAATAACAGGTCATAGATCACAAATCATAGCTACAATCATTAATCATAAGTTACAAACAACAATTGATAAATCATAAGAAACCCATAAGAGAATATAGTAGAAAAGATGCAAGGAAGAGAAAAGATGAGAAATGAGACAGTGTTGTGGGAATTATGTGTTTAGCAGAGTGGTGGCATGGGAGGAAAAACTATCTTTGTGTCTAGTTGTTTTGGTATGCAATGCTGTATAGCAGCATCCTGAGGGGAGAAGTTGAAATAGATTATGTCCAGGATGTGAGGGATCTGTAAAAATTTTCTCTGCCCTCTTTCTGGTTCATGCCAAGTATACAGATCCTCAATGGAAGGCAGGCTGGTTGTGATTGTTTTAACTATCCATTAAAATCTGTACCTGTCCTGTTTGGTTGCTGTACCAAATCAGATATTGTTTAGATACAAATGACAGATTTAATAATTCCTCTGTAGAATAGATCCTTGGGCAGTATTTTTAACCTTAGCATTATAACCAGCACATCTAGCTTGCATGTTCTACTGAAACTGAGAAACTGCTGGTGATCCTCAGTCACCAGCAGTTGAATGGATATGGAACAGAGGCTCATTGGCATTGCTATGGAATAATTTCCCATTAGAAATCAAGTTGGCCCTTGTAGTTTTGGCTGTCCGGAAACTTTTGAAAATAAATTTGCTCCATAGAGTCTACGGTGAATGATAGGATGTCTATGTCTGATTTATGATCTTGAATTACTGAGGTCAGGATTTTGTTTATTGTTTTATTTTAGGTTTTATCCTGGATGTTTTACTTTCAGTGCTCTTATAACTACTGCAGGATGCTAAGAGAATGTTTGGATTGTGACAGATATAAATTTAGGAAATCTCTAAAATGTCTTGTTCTGAAGCAATTAAAAAAAAAGATAAGGCAAGTTTGTGTAGGGCATTTGGAGGCAAAAAAGTCACACAATTGTTTGTTCCAGTAAGACAGTTTCATTTGCTTTGTCATTTGTCTTACATTTCAATGTTTTGAAATGCCTGTGGAGAGCTGTAAAAATTACACATACAAAGAAGTCACACTGTTGAAACAATGGTTTCTATTATAGTAATCTTACTATACAGACAGAGCAAAGATGAATACATCGGCAGCTTGAACAAGAGAAACACACTGGCAGTTTGCAAAAGATATAAAGTGAACCAGAGGTGACTTTTAGAAAAAAGAAACATTGCTGTCAGTTAAGAATTATGAGAGTGGTTGTGTGTTATTTCCTATTTCAAGAAAAACACACAGTTTTGGACATTTTAAAAAATAAAGTATTAGAGCATAAACTTTCATGGTGTAAAATTCAATTAAGTGAAAAGGGACAAAAACAGCAACAAAAATATATACCGATCTTGCAAACTTGGTATAATAAACTGCATTCACTAAAACCTTAGTCCCATGTAAGATACGCAGAGCCAAATGAACACATACAGTGAGTTAACATCTACCCTTTTCAGAAAACAGGCTTCTGTTTTATTTACTACTTGTAGCAACAAGGTCTCAAATAAAGTGAAGTATAGTAAACAATTGGCTGAACGAAAGAACATAAGTCAAAGAAAGACCATCAATAGTATTATCTCAAGATTTCACACTATGGCTCACAGCATGTATATTTATAGGAACTTTTAAACTTTCCCTTGGGCAATCTTTGAATTTAACTTCATATTTTCTTAGCAACAAGAATTAAAACAGGGAAGAGTAAGAGGTTCCAAGCTTCCCTGAATTAAATAATTGTCCAAACAAAGATGTAATGCTTGGGTGCTGGAGTGGCAGAACAGAGATCCAGCTTCATGTTCATCCTGAGCCATGGAAGTTCACTGGGTGCTTGCTTGCTTGATTGGCTGGTTAGTTGGTTGGTTGATTTAAAAGGTTTATAGGGCTGCCCATATTAAGTAACTCTGGGTGGCTCACAATCACAAGTGATTTGGGACCTGGCACTCTGCCAGAGCCCAACTGTGTGTCAAGCAATTCATGGCTTAGTAGACCTCAATTACTAGCTAATCAGAACTGAGGGCTGTTGGATCCAGATATCCTGAAATTCTACCTATGCTTTAATTAATGATCATTAGTTACTAAATCTTACACATAAAACTTATTTTTGTAAGATTCTATCTCTGATCAACTTGTGGTGAGGCCAGTTGTTAAGCAATATAGCTTTATATTTGAGCTTGCAAACATTTGCATTTCTCAAGATTTGCTATAATTTGATTCTCTTTAGATTTGGATAATAGTATCTCTGCCTCACAGTAATTTAACCATGGATTTGTATTTCTGATGTCACCTGAGTCCAGTGCTTTTTTTGTTAAAAAAAAAAAGTGCCGGAACTCACACACATCATACAATCCAACTTGCCTACCCTACAAGGTTCCATCCAAAAAAGGTGCCGGAACTTCGTTCTGGGTGTTCTGTGACAAAAAAAAGCCCTACCTGAGTCAAACGTAACAATTTTTCATTCTATATTGTGCTTTTAATTGGTGTTAATTGATTTTATGATTGATCACCATCCAGAATCACTTGTTTGAGATGGATTGCCATATAGATTGAATACATAGAAATAAACAAGTAAATTGAAGTTCCTAGTGACTTCTTTAATTTAACATATAACCCTGTGTCCAAGACTATAAAAATATGCTACTTCTCTCTATGC